TGAAGGTGAGCATGAAAGATGGACAAGCTTCGGGGATTTTGGATTGAGAACACAACAAAACACTAACACTCAGGGATTTGAGAATAGTCAGACGCCTGCTAATATCGATGATTCGTTTTTAGATCGAATCAATGAATTGTCAAACGAATTCAATCAATGGCACCAGCGTGACCAAGAAGAACAACAACGTCGTCTATCATTTTATTTTTAGATCGTATGTTACTAATTTTATACTTTATTGTAGTCCATGTATGTTGATATACTTATTCCATGATAATTCTATGTTTACCCATTTGTGTGATGTAAATTAAATGCTGAATGTCGGTTCATGCAGGGAAAGAACATATCAATATTCGCATATTCATTCAAAAACATGAAAATTCTTAATGGAGTACCTTCATTTCTTATTGAATTCCTAAAAAATAATATTTATAATGAATTTTAATAATTTTTTCGGATTTTTTTTTAGCTTTATTCTTACCAATTCACCCGATTTTCAATCCGAATCACCGATTCACATATCCGAATCTATTTTTTGGATGCCCGATCCGGGTCACCGATCCGTTTTTTAAACCATCGGTCGAGATGATCAATTTGATGACATTTTTAAAACAGCCTCGTCGGTTTATAGTTTTGAGGTTGGCTGTGTTTAAACTTTTCTCTTCAAAAAATAAAAAGGTTTTTTTTTCTGTTTACGTTAATTTCGCTTGGGTTATTCATCCAAAAAAGCGAGGGCCCTCTGTAATTTTCTTTTGTCCTCGCCTTCCACATATGGAGAATTCAGAAAACGCTCCATTTTAAATACCAGTTCTTCAGAGCCTTGTTTTTGAGGAGTTTTATACACCAAAACCCATGGCCATGTACTCAGCTTCTTGTTCTAGTAATGGCCTTCACTTTGCTATAAATTCCAGAAGTTCCTCCTTCAATGGTGTCCTGATTCCCACAAATCCTAGCAATTTGGCCTTTAGCTCCACTGTGACGCCTTCTGGTTCTGTTATATGTAGAATCGCTGAAAACCCAACTCTAGAAATGGAGGTTTCCCCAGTTATACAGAGGCCTGATTCATTTGGACGGTTTGGAAAATTTGGGGGAAAATATGTTCCTGAAACCCTAATGCATGCTCTCACTGAGCTGGAGTCGGCTTTTGCAAAATTTGTCAAAGAGAAGGAATTTAAGGTAAATTTGTGCCGACTTTATTCTATTTTTTATTGTATGTTAGTGATTTTTTTTTTTTGAAATGGGTTGTTTTTATATGTGCTTCATGTATATCTAGAGAATTGGAAATGTGGGTCTTTGTTGATGAAATCACTGTTTATCACTGTTATAGATTTGCATTGATATGCACAGCGCAACTAGTTCATCTTGTAATTTTGGATTAGGGCGATTTGTTTCCATCCATGTCATGGGGCTATATTTTTATTTTTTATTTTTTTAACTCACCTTTTATCATTTTATGGATGTTTTGAAGTTAGAGAAACTCATAAATAAGTTATTGTGATAGCATGCAGATAGGTAGACTTTATGGCGTAATTTGGAATGCAATATATAAATGAACAAATTATTCAAAGTGGCGATCCTTTTCTTCGAAAAAATGTCGAATTTATATTTATTATGTTTGAGCTGTTTCCCTTACAAATGGGCGTTGCTGTTGAGTTGTTAATTCAAAAAAAATAAAACTTTCTTTCTGGGCCTGAGCTCTGTATTAAAACTTTCATTCTACATGCATTGGTTTTTTCCCATGGTTTTGTAGAAATAATTGGTTGATTTTATTGGTTTATTTTGTTTTACTTTCTATTTGTAATATGAAATAAAATGATTTCAGACCTACGCCTCATGTGCCAATTGTTTTAGTGATCCGGAGATGAAGCTTTATGGGTCTGTCTTTTGTTACTTCACAATTGCATGTAATCCCTGGAAAATTGTTTCATGTGGGCTGGACCGCATTTCTAGAATATGTGGTTCAAATGTATAAAGCATGCATCTTAAAGATGGATGCAAATAGGTGGTCCATCTAAAAACAATTGTAACTAACGGTCCAAATGATTATTATTTCTAGTTGTCAATTTATTTTATTTTTTTTTTATTTTTCATATTCATGATCTCCATGTTAAAGATTATATATTCTCTAAAAATCAGGATCAAATTATATTTGAAAAAATATTTATTGCCATGCCCTCATTTCTACAATATGCGGGCTGGCTGCATAGAATACGTGTCCTATAATCTCTATTAGATTTAATACATCATTGATATCATCTACAGTTTATTGGTTCTTTCTCGAGGTGATACTCTGGTCATGATAAGAACCTGCACATACATTGTATTCACCTCGTTCTTTAACATTCTTTTGAATTTTTAAGTCTCTATTTAACTTCTCTTTTAAAAAATTCCATGTAGATATATATCTGGTTTCCTTTGAAGTCTCTTTTATTGCCTTTTGTCTTTATTGATTCTGTTGGTTTTGTTTTAGGATGAACTAAATGGGATTTTGAAAGACTTTGTTGGCCGCCCGTGCCCCCTATACTTTGCGGAGCGACTCTCAGAGCACTATAAGCGTCCCAATGGTGAGGGGCCCCACATATACCTGAAGAGGGAAGATCTCAACCACACTGGGGCCCACAAGATCAACAACGCGGTTGCTCAAGTGTTACTCGCAAAGCGCCTGGGTAAGAAGCGCATAATTGCTGAGACTGGTGCTGGTCAGCATGGAGTTGCAACCGCCACTGCATGTGCGAGGTTTGGTTTGCAATGCATTGTATACATGGGGGCTCAAGACATGGAGAGACAGTCTCTAAATGTGTTTAGAATGCGTCTCCTTGGAGCTGAGGTATGTTCTTAATATGTACGGGTCGTGGCACCTATGACTGTGTTCTCTGTCTTGTTTGATTTTGATGTTAGAAGTTATCAAATTAAATCCCTTTGATAGTTTGGTTTTTAGCTTTTCTATGACAGGGTGGACAATAGAGAAAATGGAGTGAGAAAAGATAGAAGTATATTAATTTTCTAAGCAAACATTGTTACTTTTCTAGCCCAGAAAAGTAAGCAAGCTTCCCTTTTGCGTTGACTTTTAGAGATGTATATTAAGTCATTGACATGCTAATGGGCATCATTGGTCTCACTGGTTGTTTGTTATTTTCATTTTTATACAATTTTTGTGAACTTGAATTTGTTTGTTTAATTGTGGTGAGCTCGGATTAAAACTTAAAATCTTGTGGTGCTAAAGTATATTCTATCAGTACGAGTATATTATTATTGTAGCTTACTTACCTCTGGCCTCTGGGCCATGACAAATATCATGTGCCATTGCTCAAGACAGGATTACATCATGTGCTCCCTGCTAGCCTAAACATGCTCTACTTCAGATGCTGGAATTTGGGGTCTCACTATTCTGCATTCCTATTGCTTGCTCCAGGACTTTATGCTAAGCACATTTTGGAGCCACATCAATCATTGAGGGTCAAATAGTTAGCATTAAAAAAATAGTCATTAATGTCCATATTTTTCTTTTTTTTTTGATTGGTAGCTTCAGTAGTTTCCCTTTTGTCATTTATCATGAGGTCCAATTCTCCTGTTGTACTTGCCAACCTATCTTCTCATTTTCTCTTTTCAAGTGTATTGCCTAGGTGGGGAAGAAAAAACTATGATGTTGCCCAGACATCAATATATGTTTTCGTTTCCCTTAATATCTGGGAACAATTTCTGCATGCGACCTTATTGGCTTCGGCCCTCTGGCTTAGTTTGCCCATGCATTAAATGTTCTCTATTCTCTTCCCTCCCTTTGATATACGAGTAAATTCATCTTCCTCCATTTAATATCAGGATTGATTGTTTTACTTGCTATTTGATGCTTGACTTTTCTGTGTCATCCTTTTTCTCTGCACTCTCTGAGAAGTTCATCCACTCCAACTGAGAGCCTGGGTTGAATAGAACTCCATCCTAATGTTAAGGATCCTGTCAAAGAATCATGTACAGCCTACTAACATTATGAGATGAACTTAATTGGTCCATCTTACCACTCCTAGGTTCAGAAGAATTTCTTTGGTACTGGAATGACTTCTTAAATGGAAGGCATCTTCACAGTAGATGCTTATAGTTAAAATATGCAATTAACTGACATTTTCATTGAGTGGGTAAATGTTGAAGTTGCCAATACAATTTTACATGATTTATTTAAAGGCCTGTGAGCATGTAGTGAATAGTAGGAAGCCTTTGGTTGGATAATGAGGAATGGTTTGCAATGGTTTATGAGGTTGCAGGCAGAGTCAAAGAGGATTATAAACACAATACTCAAAAGAAGTGCACCTGCTTACCTTGTTGACTGCATATTGACCAATGAGATGCACCATTTCGTGCAACCCCCAACCCCCCCTCCCCCTCCTCCCCCCCCCCACTAAAAAAAAAAAACTTACACACATTCTTATTGTGCTGGTTGCTTACAAGATGAGTTACGACTGTGTATAGAAAGAAGAAAAGAAAGTTCCTGTGTCTTGGCACGGTAAGTAGCAATATGTTCTGTCCAAATCCAGTGAAAAGGCAGAGAATCGAGCTATGTTTGCTATAAGTAGTGGCAGTATCTTTGTGCACTATATCATCATCATCGTCAAAGCTTTTTCCAAACTAATTGGGGCCGGCTACATGAATCCTGGTCTGCCATTTGTTCTATTAAGGGCCATACCCTCAGTGAGGGTATTTGTGCACTATATAAAGATCAAAGTTTCATCTCCTACCCCATATCATGAGGATACTTTTAGCAGCAATCATACTCTTTTTAACCTCTGGGTCATTTGTATGTTGTCCAAATTTAATTGCATTCATGTTGTTTCAAGTGTTGTGCCAATTATACCGTTGCTAGTCATACTGTTGCTTTAGTTGTGCTATTGTTGCTGCTACATTTTCAGTGTTGTGGTGATTCTTATTGTTGTTGTTTCGATAAGAAACAGGATGTAGCATGTTGAGGTGGAATCCTATTGTATTAGAAAGATACTACTTGAAAGGCTTTTTTAGTCTCCATATATAATATCACAGTATCTTGCTAATTCATTTACTAAGTTGTTGATCAGAGCTAGACATTCTAGATAGTGAACAAACTATTTCTTGTTTTATTGGAACTTGAATGTGTTTTTTAACAGGAAAATATCATTTTGCTGGTCAAACCAACTCAAAAACATCACATCAACCAATTTGTTATGGATAAAGTAGGTTACCTTTGAAAGATAACTCCACTCAAGTACCTCAAACTATTTTGTTAAAAAAATACCCAAAAGCCCCTGTTTTGGGCTAGGAATCTTGAACAAGTAGGGGCGTTTTGGTTATTTGGCACCACTTAAGTTAACTGTGCCAAATGAAATAAACACCCGTGCTTGTTCTGAGTTCCAAACTTAGAACATGTTGTTTTTAATTGAACTCTTTTTCTTTTAAGTTTGGAACCCGGAACAAGAATGGGCAATTTACATCATTTGGCTCAACTTAAGTGGCCTCAGTGAAATGGTGAAAGCACGGCCACTTGTTTTGGGCTCCAAAACAGGAACATGTGTTCCTATCATCAGCATTTCTTGTTTTGGTTTTGGAAAGGGAACAAGCAGTGGCATTTTGGTGATTAACCGATGGGTAAAATTTCTGAAATGCTCCTTGTTCAGGATTCTGGTCCTAGAACAGGGGCCTTTTTGGGTATTGTGAAAACAGTTGAGGGGTACTTAAGTGGAATGATCATAACCTTTTTGCTTATAAATTAGTTGATTTGACTGCTTGAGTAATTTGTTGAGGCGGTATGATCATTTTTACTTATTCTTCTCCTTTTACAATTTGTGTGTATTTTTTGTGCCTTATGGTTTTCAAGGGTGGGCTAAGTGATGTTGTCCTTGCATCTATTGACGCAAGGTTAGTTAACTCTTACTTGCTTTGGAACTTGGCATGACCCTGGAGGGAGTCAGTTCAGCAGTTCCCAAATGGTCTCACTAAGTTCCCCCCCAGTTGGCCTAAAATCCCTGAGAAGTATAGAAATTTCATAGAAAATGGAAAAATAGGATAAATAAAAAATTACAATAACCGAAATATTACTAAAGGGAGTGATGTTAATTAAAAAAAAAAATGAATTATATGAAGGTATGGTATAGCCTACACATGATGTGGACGTTCGCCCTTCAACCTTTCAAATTAAACCTAGTCTCATCCAATGGCCACAAAGAAATTTTGCTTTTTATTTTTCATTTTTATTTAAATATTTATCTGAAATTTGGGGTCTATATGTATTTTTATATGGCGCACCACATAAAAAAAATAATAAAATATTATGAATAAAAAAAGAGACCATAATACCCTTGAATTTCAGATAAAGATAATTTTTAAATAAAAATAAAAAATAAAAAACGAAATTAGCTTGTGGCTGTTGGTATGGCCTTGTTTAATCTAAACTAGTGTTTAGTTACTCCCCTCGGGCTAGGTACTTGGGAGTCCAAGTGGACTTGCCCAAGTTTCTATATATTCAAAAAACAAAAACTTAAAGAGAAAATAATAAATTAAAGATGAAAGAGGGCATGTGGACAAAAGAATTTTCCTTCCGTGGCCACGTGTCTCCACCTTTCTCTCTCAACCTAACATCTCTCTCTCTCTCTCTTATTTGTTTTTTTGAGAAATGGTTAACTTTATAACAGAAGAGGCAATTACATCCAAATTAAAAAGGAAGAAGGCAGCCCACAAACTGGGTGCTCAGAGTACAGATAGGGGGAAAAGATAATAAAAGAATAATAGAGGGTAAAGAGGGGGGTGAGGAATGCATACAAGTAAAAAGAAATTAAAAGACCAAGGCTGAAAACCTAAATACCTAGTAACCAGTATAGATGAGAGGAAGAGCCAATTAAGTCCAAAAAATAAGTGGCCTTTACTGAAGAAAGCCGCAGTCGTAAGCTGACTCATCCATTGATGAGGTCTATTCAGTTATACTCCATTAGGCAATATAACATGTGGGCCGGGTGGTGCTTCTCGTGATTGAATCGTCGGCTGGGCGCAACCAACAATGTGCAAGGAGGAGGAGGTTAAGGGTTAAGCTAAGGGGTCATGGTTCTAGCCCGAGAGTAGAGGAGGTATAGATCACAGGGGAGAGCAGAGGGTTAGACAAAGGAAAGTGTGGGCATAGAATAGGGAGACAAAGAGGATTAAGTGAAGTAGAGAAAAAGTGGGTGAGAAAGAAAAGGGGAAGGAAAGAGAGAAAGAGGAGAATAAAGAGAAGAGGCGAGTTAGGGAGGGAGGTGCGAGAGGAGAGAAGAGGATAAGGAAGAGAGGAAAGGAGGGGAGGAGGGGAGGAAGAACGAGAGGAAGAGAATATCTCTACCCCTTATTACTCCCTTATTACACTTGTCTTGTTTTCTCTCTCTTCCCCGACCCACCTACCACCTCTCTCCCACCACCCCCATCCAGCCACCACCTCTCTTTCTCTACCCACACCCCCCATCTCTCTCCCCACCCGACGACTACAACTTGCTCTCTCTCTCTCTCTCTCTCTCTCTCTCTCACCCCTGTTGATTAGTCTTTGCTCCTCTCCCTGTAAAATATGAAAAAGTGTCTCTCTCTCTCTAGAAAAGGGAAAGAAGGGCTTACCTTTGGTTAACAACAATGGTGGAGGCGAAGCCACCTTGAGTGGGTTTTCCATCAGCATATACATTGTTGTAGCTCCACACTTTCTTGTTGTAATATTGCTCTACCTTTCCCTTGCAGCACCCACACGGACCACCACATCTTGAGGCCCTGTTTTCCTGTCAATACCACACATAATACACTTTTGAAACCAAATATTCCTGTTGATTTTATTGAGATGAAGGCTTGGAGACGAGAATTGCAACCAGATGAAGAAAGAGAAGATTGGAATAACTGAGATGGAGAGAGTGTAAAAACGTAGGCATAGAGAGCTGTTCTTGTCGATTTTATACCTTTTTTTAAACTTCTATTTTAGCATGGCAAGTTGTACACCTGGCTCGCTTCGCCTATAGGGCAAGGCTGAGTGACTCGGCCAAGTCTGTGTGGAGTCAGCCAAGTCGCAGCATACTGATCTAAACAGTTGGAAGCATGCTTGTACACCCTTCCACTGTCCATGTGATGTGGACGGGAGACTTTCTCTTGTATGAAAGCAAATTGAAAGTTACCCAAAATTCCAAAGTTGATCCTCCAGTAGTTGTGCTTGATTGGAATCAACGCCTCCAATCTTTGTCATAGGGTCCCCAAACACCACAAATTGAGACCTCTAAATTAAATTTGGTATTTGAATTCTGATCTAGTTGATTCGAGCTCTTGAAAATTTTTTTGAGTAATATTTCAATTTTCAATTCTTACAAATCTGAGATATTTAGTGGGTTTTTTTTGTGAGACACAGGCCTATGATTCTATAAGGAACCCAAAGATAGGCTTAGGTAACATTTTCTTCAAAGATTGAGCAACTTTTGCGAAGAACTTGCAACTTTTCGAATTTGGCCAAAACCTTGGACGAAAAATTTGATTTCTCAAATCAGCAAAATCTACTTTTGCCCCCTCAAATCTGATCCTTTCAATAGATCATGCAAACAACCCTACAGCCAAAGTCTGGGCTCCATCCAATGAGTGATTGAAGAGAAATGAGAAAAAAGTGAGATCGGTTCCATCCCCCATTTATTTTTGAAAAATGTCAGACTTGGCAAGTTCTTACAAACTGGGTGAGGTTGTCGTTTTTCAACTATCTCAGGTGAGTTACTGTAGTAACTCGACCAATTAGGTGAATTGTACCTCCGTACATCTAAAGTCTGGGCTCCATCTAATGTGTGATTGAAGAGAAATGAGCAAAAAGTGAGATCAGTTCCATCCTCCATTTATTTTTGAAAAATGTCAGACTTGGCAAGTTTTGACAAACTGGGTGAGGTTGTCGACTTCCGATTATCTCAGGTGAGTTACTGTAGTAACTTGACCAAGTAGGTGAATAGTACCTCCTTACATGAGTGGGGGCGGGGGTGGTGGTGGTGGGGATTCAGGTCTCAACGAGGTGCTGAGTGACTTGGCCTAGTCTGAGTGGATTCAACTGATTTTTCCAAGACATAACGAAAGGATGCGACCCCCCAAAAGATTTCTCCCTGTTAGACCTTCAGGTCCACGGAAACCCTGTGGACCCATAAAATTTGAACATCAACCCCCTGCTCTAAGCTTTCCCCTATCATATGTACATTTATGTCCCTGTTCATTTAGTTAATGACACCACCATCCGAAACTAAGAATTGAGGGCTTCCAAATCAGAAACCTCTGTGTATCTCTCTCTCTCTCTCTCTCTCTCTCTCTCTCTCTTCCTTCACTAAAGCCTCCCATGAAACCGCTGCCTCCTCTCCTTTCCTTCACATACACTATCTTTCCCTTCACATACACTCTCGTTCTATACCCCTTTCCTCACTCGCTCTCTACCCCATCCTCCATGCTTTCTCTCTCTACTCTTTCCTAAAACTACCCTATTCCTCTCTTTTATCTTTTGATCAAAACTTGGCAGGTTCAAATCCCTCAATAACATGAAATTATATGAGCTTTTGGCCAATTAGGACCAAAGACCAGCTCCTGCAAACCATGAATAATTGCATCACATGAAATATAGGAGTTCTTACGGCAGATTCGGAGGAAGAAAAACGTAGCACGGCTACTTCAGCAGATGCAATCACACTGATTCTCTCATCAAGAAACATATTTCTTCCTGTCCATACAAAACTTTTGATCCACATTCAAGAAGATATCAGATGTTTATGTCCAGTACTTATCTTTTCCAGGAACCTGTCTCGATGGGCTCTGCTTGCCCTTTCAGTACACTAGCAAGACAAAAAGGAGGAGCCATTAGTAGAAATCCTCACTGATTTCTTGATAACAATATAGATCCTATAATAGAAAGACATAATAAATATTACGAAATATGGTGGATGAGAAGAAGTTGCAATCAACATGGTAACACTTTCTAGGGAAGGTTCAGCATTGTTGTACTCCTCTAAAGTTCTTTTTCTTGGAAGAGGAGCGAAGCCATCTACGAAACCCAAAAATGTTTACGCAATAAATTTACAATTTACAAAATATAAAAGTCTTACGAGAAAGATTAGAAGAAGAAATCATGTAGTTTTGGGGGAAAGATTAGAATGTGAGAACCCCTGATTCATGGAATGGTGGAGAGAGAGAGAGATAGAGAAAGAGAACGAGCATTATGGATGGGGTAGAGAGAGAGAGGGGGAGGGAGCGAAGGATGGATAGAGAGCATTAAGGATGGGCCACATAGAGAGAGAGAGAGAGAGAGAGAGAGAGAGGAGGAAGGAAGGTAGTGTGTGTGTGTGTGTGTGTGTAGAAGAAGAGAGGAGGAAGGTAAGGTAGGGAGGTAGAGACACGAGACGACGACGACGA